CTAGTTATTCTATATAACTAGTGTAGATATCAATTTTTTTTTCTAATTTTAACTTTATAATATTTGTTATGATAGGCTGGCACCTAAGAGGGGGTGAATTGGGTGATACTTAAAAATTTTTAAAAACTTGAAGAGAGTGAAGAACTAAATAGTGAAGAAAGAAGATAAGACACATGAAATTTATACTGGTTCACCTTAAACTTGGCTTGTGTCCAATCCTCAAGATCACACTTGAGATTTTCAACTAAGATTACAAGCTTCAATGGGTACTTGCTACCATAGTATAACTCTCAAGACTAAACTTGTCTTGATTCATTTAATAAATCTTGCTACAATCTAGCAAGTTGTTATAAACACTTGAAAAATTTCTTTTCAAGATTTTGAGAAAATAAAATAAGCTTTGTAGAAAACTCTCTTAAAGAGTAGATGAAAATACAATTGAAAGCTTATAAACTTATGAAAACTTTTCACAATTCTTTTGAAGAATAATAAATGAATGCAAGATGTAAAAGCACAATTTAGAAGCTCTTTAAATGTGCAAGTGATAATTTATTCACTCAAGGATCATTAGTTCTAGTTCTGGTTTAAAATGAATTACTTATATAGTTTTTGGAAGTTGACAGACTGTTAGAATAGTGATTCTATCCATTGGTGCATTTTATTGTGAGTGACTGGTATAATCACATGTGAATTTGCATTGGAATTGTTCCAGGAATCTATATGTGATAAATCATGTGTGAACACCTTAACCTCTCACGTGTGGTTTTACACTTTTAAATAAGCATCCAATTTTGTGTTCTAAAACTAGTATGGTACCATATTGCTCTCTCATGTGGTTTTGCACTCATGATATAAATTCAGTTCTATGTTCTAAAATTAACGTGTACCTTATTGCTTTCTTATGTGGTTTTGCACTTATGAATATACTCTCATTTCAAAGTGCTAAAACTTGCGAGTGCACCATTAGCTTTCATACTTGGTTTTGCATATAAGAAACTATCATTAGTTCTGTGTGACAAATCACACGTAGAATCTCTTCTCTTTTACACTTGAAATGGATGGCAGAATGCCAAAGCCATTGTATGTGATCAAAACTCATGTGGAACTAAAAAGCTATCACTCATGAAATTGTAAGCACTAAAGCACAAACTAGTTTGGTGCATTTTTATACGTGGTACTACACATAACTCAAGCAAGATTTTGCATAATCAAGAGATATAGATTTATGAGTCAATGATCATACATGTGAATAATTTTAGCTTGACTTGAGGAGACTTAAGATTCAATAAAGAAAAATGTGATCATGTAACAGGTGACAAATCACGCGTGGCTATCATCAGTCTCACACATGGTTTTGTACTTTAACACAATGGAATGAAGCATAGTTGCTAAAACTTACATGGACAACAATGCCTCTCACGCATGGTTTTACATGCAGAACTAAAGCTTAAAGCATCACATAACACAAGTGCTTAATCATGGGTGAATCACTTCTTCACTCTTACATGATCTAGTAATCAATGTGCCTAACATGCAAAAACTTGTAAGTAACCTATAGAATCATGCATGATTCTACCTCTCACAATGCAAACAGCTTGTATGAAATACGACACATAAGAAAGACATTGTTTACAAGCTTTAACATACTTAGATGAGTCTTAATGCATATAAATGAGACATATGATGCATTTATCTTATGATTATGAAAAGTAATTAAGCTCTTTAAGTTTTCATATTGAATTTAAGATAATTTAAATAACTTATCCTAAACTTCTTCATCTTCTCTTGATTCTTCATGCTCTTGATGTTTTGTCTTCATCCATGATTCTTTATATTTGCACATATCACAAATATCTCTTCTCATAATTTTGTAATCATTAAAACACATGATCCAACAATATCTACACTAGGTATTCCTTATAATCAATGTAGATTTATCATCTTTTCTAATTTTTAAACTTTCCCCCTCCTCACATCACCTGTAGATTTATCATCATCTTCACTGTGCTTTCTCACACTCGCACTCATACTCACTCTCACAATTGCCCTCTAACACTCACACTCTCAATCTCAATCAATCTCAATCTCTACCCTTAGGCTGCCTATAGATTCATCAGTAGTCTCTTTACTTCACCTTCAATCTCACACTCACACTGACTCTCTGGTTCTTTGTTTTTAAACTCTTAATCTCAACCCTTGTAAGTCTCAGATTCATTGTTCTCATCTCTATTCTTTGTCTCAATCAATCTCAACCTCTACTCTTATAACAACTCAGCTAGCGATATTGAAATACAAGGAAATCCTATCAAAGTAGCTGCTGGAACTCATCAAAAAAGCCTCCCTCCTTCCCTGAAAGTTCAACTATTAGAGGAAACAAGGTGTTGAAAGCTTCAAATTCTCATGATTTAGGTTAGGACTTAACTGTGTTTTGTACCTTAATCTATTTTCAACTTCAAATTAATCTTGACTTTTGTCATGAATTTGAAGTTAATTAAGAGATTTGGTATATACACAGTGCTCGTCTGTTGGGATTTTTAGTTATAAATTAAAGAAGCAAACCCTTGGAAGAAATATATATATATATATATCTATATATATGAAAGATAGATGAATTTTAGATATATGAATTTTTAAGAAGCAAACTCTTGGATGAATTTTTAGATATATGAAAGATAAAAGGATAAATTAAAGAAGCAAACCCTTGTTTGTTGGGATTTTTAGATATATGAATTTTCAAACAAGAGAATTGAAAGATTATCAAATTAAAAACACCATTGTTGAAAGTCAAATGCATTTGTCTATGCGTGATATGTAAATTAATACGGATTATGCTTTAGATATCTATTGGATTATTTTTTTTTCATGAAAATTTTGACCACTAAATCTTGGGTTTGATAATTGGCATGATGCACCTATGTGAGGCACCTGAGCCAGTAGTAAAAATTGTACCTAGAATTTTGAAATACCATGGTTATGTTTTAAATGCAAAAGTAGCCTTATATTATTTTATTTTAGATTGATTGATTTTTGTGTATTAAATTGTTATGATTACATGAATAATTTATTTTTTTGTAAGTTGATAAAGTGCTGGTAGAAGCTTAAGGCTGTTAGGCATTACATGCAACTTTGTTTTGTTTAAAAATATTATTTTCTCCTTTGTATTTTCAATTGTAAATTTATTGAAAAGTCCAACTTTTGGGGGAGACTCTACTAAAATTCTTTTTAAACTTAATGTTTTGCCCTTTGTTTTATAAGAAAATGCCAAAGAATATGAAGTTAGCTTCAAATAGGAGGGATGCTTGGCCCTATTTCTATGCTAAATTTTTAATATAAAACTAATTGTTGGAATTGCCAAATTTTCATTCTTGACCCTATTTTTAATAAAGAACTCTAAAAAATATTCTCAAAAAAATTGGAAATTATGCATACATCAATTGTATTTGGCTAGTTTATTTCTTATGAATTAAATTATTGTGATTACATTACTAGTTTATTTTCTTATACTGGTGGAGTGCTGGTAGAGGCTCGAGGCCATTAGAGATTGCATGCAACTTTGTTTTGTTTAAAAATATTATTTTCTCCTTATATTTTTTATTATAAATTTATTGAAAAGTCCAACTTTTAAGGGAGGCTTTGTTGAAATTTTTTTAAACTTAAAGTTTTGCCCTTTCCTCTATATGGAAAGGGCCAAAAAATATAAAGTTGGCTTCCTTCCTACTTATTAGATAGGAGGGAAGCTAACTCTAAAAAATATTCTCAAAAAATTAGAAATTATTATGTTAGCATGCCTATTTCCTAATTTTTTTAATATATAACTCATTGTTTGGCCCTCTCATAGTGGATTTAGTGATAATCAATGAACTCTCATATTTTAGAAAGACAAATTAAACATGGATTGTAGTTAGATAGATGCCAAATAAACGAGCCTAGAATATGCTAATGGGGTTAAGGGGTTTTTGGAATTTTCTTAGAGCATGCTGAAGATGATAGTAGGAGGTTCTATTGTCCTTGTAGGGATTGTTTGAATGAGAGGTGGCTAAGTGCATATAAGATATATAAACACTTAATTTGTGAGGAGTTTCTCAATAGCTATAGAGTTTGGATATGGCATGGTAAAAGACTGAACATGCCAATGTTGAGTACATCTCAATTATAGGATGTTGATGTTGTGGTTGATGACAATGATGATATACACTACAACAAAACAACATTTTTCTTACGACATAAATCTGTGAGAAATCACTTAAATTTCTGTGAGAAATAATTTTCTCATAGCATTTCTCACGCCAAAAGGTTCGTCACTAAACCTATCGAAGGAAAAAAAATTTCACACGAATGGAACCGTGAGAATCATTTCTCATGCCCTTATCTGTAAGAAGTTCTTACTGAGATGAAATCCGTGAGAAGTTCTTGCAGAAACTTTGTGAGAGTATTTCCTGTAATATAAATTTGTGACAACTTCTCACATATTATTGGCATGAGAAATTCTCTCATATAAGGATGTTGTGAGAATTTCCTATGATAATATTCTATGAGAAATTCTCATGCATAATAAAGCTGAGAGAATTTCTTTTAAAATAATGCTGAGAGAAATATAAGACAAATTCTTATATACAACATCCATGAGAAATTCTCTCATAACAATACACCGTGAGAAATGCTAACAGTTTGTTTAATTATTTTTCTCACTAATTTGATGAATTAATTTTCATAAGAAATTTATTCTCACAGAATTTTATTATAAGAAATTTTGTGAGAACTCTATATTATTATCATTATTTATTTGATTATTTAAAAATTTTATTATAAACCTGTTAAAATATTTCTCAAATAACAGACAACAACTAAAAATAGTTGACATATAAGCACATATGTCACAATTGAACCATCAAAAAATTGCATTATATCATAATGTTTATAGCAAAGTTCATAATACTATGCAATAAAAGTCATAACACATAAAACATGAAATCACATAAATTCATTCTCACTGAACTCATCATCCTCATCATCCTCTTCATCATCAGAACCATCTTCTTGTGAGTCATTCTCCAAATCACCACAACCCTCCCATCATTGGTTTTAGAAGGACCACCTTTTTAAATTTGCTTATCCGTGCCATAATCATTGCCCATTTTTGATCCATTCTTTCTTCCCTAGCACAAAATTCTTCCTCCCTTCTTTCTTCCCTAGCTCGAAATTCTTCCTCCCTTACTTGCAAAGATTCAACAACCTTTTCAAATCTATCCTCATAAAATTTTTTCTGTTCTTCTAGTTGTTTCTTTAAGAGTGCAATCTCACCAGATGTATTGGCACATTGAGTTCCATTAGAATTAAGAAGCCCTGCCTATGTTCCAAGCCCATAAACTCGACCCCTCTTATTTTCCCCCCCCAACCACCTGAAGCCATAAAGCAGAATTGGAAATACTAGCATCGGATTCTTGACATTCTTTTAATCGCTCAAACTCATTCTGCATTAAAACAAAATAATGTTAAAATGTATGCCTAAAAACCAAAAAAAAAGAATAAAGACTTAAATAACTTACATAAGTGTCAGCAGCTCTCTTTCCAACCCAACCTTTTTCCTCATCATGTTGAATTTTCTTGAAAACCTCAGGATATTCACAAGGCCTTCCCAATTCAACTTCATACATGATTTATAAAAAATGATAGGATTAACTCAATAATTAAAGAATGAAAAAATACATACATATTTGAATAATTCTTACCATTCTTCTTCTATGCTCTGCAAATGTTATTCGTCCCCCTCTATGCACACATCCTCCTATGTTAGCTGCTCAATTTTTTTTATTTTTCTTAGATTTGGCTTTAAATTCATCACTTTCCCAATATTTTTCAAGCTCCTTTTGAGGTCCAGGCATTAACCATTCACCTTTTGTTTTACCAATTCGAATGTCCCTTAAAGAGGAGCGAATTACCCCACTACATTTCTTCTTCCATATTTTATGAACATCACCATCTAAAGTTGGGTCCCAAGCACATCTTAGCTACATATAAAAATATGAAAATGTCAAGTGCTACAAAATAAAATATTTGTATCAATAAGTTGTAAAGAATTAGTAAATTAGCTCACTTTGAATTCATTAAACCATAAATTTTTAACATTTTCTGGGACTTTACTAAATGCAGGCCATCCACTCTCATACTTTGAATGGATTATTCTAGATAAGATTGACACTGATTCAACTGAAGGAAGAAACCTACAAAAAGAACAAGAATTAGTATATAACAAGTAACAAATGATAACATAAAAATTTTAATAAAAGATACTTACTCCTCATTACCCTCAGGTCGAATCACTAGGCGACCATCACTTAATCTAGACCCGGCATCATATGTTTGATTAGACAAGCCAGCTATATCTGTACTCAGTCTAGAAGAATCAACCTCAGATCTCGGTGATCGACTGCTAGCAACTTGCGGCTGAGTTCGTGGTAATTGTGTGACCAATGGTGATTGGGGTGGCAAAGGATGTGTCTTAGGCGGTGATAGTCGTGTATAAGGTAGTGATGGCTGTGTATTAGGTAGTGATGGCTGTGTCTGAGGTATTAAAAAAGAAGCAAGTGATTGGGGATTGTGATGATTTCATTATCTTAGCCTTCTTCTTCTTCTTCTTAGATATCACTATATCTTTTTGAGAAGACGTCATCTAAAGTTAATTAAATAAATAAATAAGTAGATAACTAAATAAAATAAAATTTTATAATAACAAACTAACTAATAGGCATAATAAACAACATAATAATAATTACTTTACCAATTATAATCAATCACTGGCTAAATAATAATCAGAAGGAGGATCTTCTTCTGTCTCAGATGTATCAGTAGGCAGTATATCTTCATTCAAATTTTCATCACTTGATTGTGAATGATCATCAATATCCTCTTCATTCTCACATGAGAGTGCATTATCAAATTCTTCACTCTCACCTATATTATCTTGTAAATCTTGTTCATTATGTTCATACTCAATTAATTGGACTTGTCGATTGGTGTCATCTTGAAATGGTGTATCTTCATTTTCATTATCAATATCATCAACTCTATTCCTCGCTTTGGTTGTAATAACAACAAGACAATTTTTCTTGGCAATAATTAATTTTAGACATGGTGTAAAATACACTTGTTGAGCTTGTTGTGCAAGAATAAACGGATCATCCCTCTTGTATGTTCTTTTCGCATTTACCTCAACAGTGCCATATTTAGGAGAAACTCGAGTTCCTCTTGAACTAGGATCAAACCATTTACATTTAAAGATTGTTAAAAACTTGAATGGTTTTCCAGTGAACTGTAATTGTATTATCTCCTCTAAGACACCAAAGTAAGAAGATTCAAGTTGACCATGATTACTTCCCTTAACCATAACTCCACTATTAGTGGTCTTCCTCCCTTTTGCCCATACATTAGTATGAAACTTGTATCCATTTACTGACCATTGATGAAATGTTTTTGCTGGCCTCATAGGACCCCAAGCCAAAGAAATCAATAACTCATCTTGTATATTATTTTGAGGATTGAAAATCTATTTCAAATAAAATATCTACATTAGTATGATTTTATAAAATATGATCTCATAGAAAGTTATTAACACAAACTTACATAATCTTTGAACCATGTAGGAAATTTGGAAGATATACACTTATCCACCTTCTCATTTGATAAAGTATGATCCATAGAAAGCAATTCATTGACATAAATGCTATATAACACAAAAAAAAAAGATTAGCCTTAGAAAAAGTATATGTTGAGTCAAATAGGAAATTACAATGTGATATATATAAAATCTTACTTGAGAATAGGTTTAACTTCAGGACAATTAAGAAGAACATACAAGATTATTGCATATTCCTCCTCTGGGGTAAGTTGATGAGTGTTTTGTGTTATTTTTCCATGTGGTTGGCTAGGATAATTGAAGATAAAGATAGGAGGATAATCATCACGCTCCCCACCATCATCATTACAGGGAACTCTTCTAGTTCTTGATTGAACATGTTCCTCAAAATAATAAGAGCAAAACGTAGAAGTTTCTTCAAGAATGTACGCTTCGCAAATAGAACCTTCAACATGAGCCTTATTCTTTACCTTTCTCTTTAAGGTGGAGTCATCTATCAATAATGGAACATTATTTCATAAACCATATTCTATCTTATAAATAAAAGTTAACTTTTCCTATAATTGAATTTCAAAAGTTGTGTAACGATAAGGAAGTGAGAGCAATATAATGGTAAAAATGAAGTGATAGTGAAAAATTATATATGGTTGACAATCCAAAGAGGTAACATGTTATTGTCTCAAAAATGAAGAAGAGATTTGAAAAGGTCTAATTATATTTTCTTTTTATTTTTAATCATAAATCAATAAATTGAATTCAAAATAAATCAACAATCATTTATTTTTTAATTCACGTGACTATCCTGTTATTTATTTGAAGGGGTTTAAAAATTAAAGTAATGCCCAGGTTCTTTAGAATGCAAGTTATAGGTTAATATCTAAAATTTTTTAATTTCTAATGCTTTAGGTAAATTGATTTGATGGGACATGGATATTTATTTATATTTTTTTATAGGCCATTGTCTTTATTGAAGTTTCATTCACAGATTTGAGGTTATCTCTCATCTAGTCATCTTATTAGAATTTTTCCATAAAAAAATAATCAGTAAATGTGGACCATAACACTTTTAAGTTTAAGCTCTAGCTGAATTTTAGCTTTGGTATATAATTAATTTGTGGCCGTAGGGGTTAGCATTTGCCATAGATTCATGTGCTTATACATGTGTGTCATAATGCTTGCATGTGTGTGTTTTCCTATTATAGTTGGGGCTTTAGGATCAAAGTTGTTTTTCAAAACAACAACACAACAGAGTCGATCAAGAGCATGGCAAAGAACAGAGTAATAATAAGCAAAGCAGATCAACCCAAGCAAATATTCATTATTAGAAGTTTTGAGCAAATAAATGGGTGTCCACTCTAACCAAGCAATAGAAGGATTTCAATTTAGAAGATTAAAACAGAACACAATATTGTGCAGCAAGCTAAACTCATAAATTGAACAAATGTACCTTATATCCTTATGCTTCACAATCCTTTGTGGGATTAAACTCAAACCTAAAAAATGAAGCAATCACATAAAGAGGAACATAAAATTTTCTAGCAAAAAGAATTAGATTAAATGAAATTTATATGTGATAATGAAGTAAACATTTTCCAAGCATTGCATTGATCTGAAAGCATGTTACTCCCGAATGAAGCCTTAAGGCCTTTTGCATTTTTATCTCAATTCACTAGCAAGCATGCCACTTGATTATATAATAACGTGTATGTGTGCATGACAACAAGATCAATCTTTTTTATGAACAGATATGTGAAAGCTCCTTTTTGTCATGGGGCCTACAAGATCAATATTTTTAAATTAGATATATATATATATATATATATGAACTCATTAAATAGAGACCCTAATGATGCCATGTGCCATGTGCAGTAAATCAAAAACCCAAAATGGATTAGGGGCAAAACACTATACCTGACAAATTGAAGGAAATATCTATCGCAGAATACTATACTCTGTTTTGTCATACTCATTAAAAAATCTTATTCAACCCAAAATAAAAATTTATATATATGTCCTGTGATACCCATTAAAAAATTACAGAGAACAAACCACCAAATTTGTGCAATTAAAACCATAAAGGATGGAAAGCAACGTGCATTGAATAGGAATCAAAATTATTATTATTATAGTAGTAAAACAAGAGTGTACGAACATGGAAGAGGAATCAATAAATATATATGTCTGTGTGCCACTCCCAACACCTAAATAAACAAAGATAATTAATCTTGGGAGGGGCCCTAGGTGAAGAATAAAAATGCAAACTTGAGTCAGCTTTATATATTTAATATTAATCAAAGAAAGGAATGGAGGAATAGAGGAACCTTATCGCAGGAGAAAGAGGATGATGATCTTTAACGTGCAAGAGAGAGGAATGGAGGGACTGTATAACCGAGAGAGAGCACGAGCTGCAAATGGAGCGATCTTCGTGGGGCAGGAGCACGATTTGGGTTCTAAGCAACTGACTCTCAGGATACCTAAGCTGAAGGAGCGAGCGGGAGATGAAATTTTTTGAGCCAAATGGAGGGACTGAACAATAGATGAAACAGCAAGAATGGAGGGAAGAAAGAGGGCATTAGGGATTTCAGTGAATTATTTTATAAAATTAATACCCACTAATTCTTTTTATGTTTCAATTTTAAATCTTACGATAATATAAATTTCATATTATTAAATGTTTTTAATATTATATTCTGAAGTACATTTTTATTTAATGACATAAAATATATTAAAAAATATATTATAATTTTTTATTGTTAAATTAAACAAAATTTATCACCGGGTCTGTTGTTATTTATTTTATTTTATTATATCAATTATTTAATTATTTTTTTGTAAATATTTTTTATTAACATTTTATTTCAAGTAATAAGTAATTTCTCATAGTAAAGTAGTTGAAAAAAAAATAATTTAGAGGGAATCCAAGTTTTTAGTAAATATTTGGCTCCAACTCAATTATTTTATATGAAAATTTTGAAAAAGATAAATTTATTAAAAATAATTAGTTCTTTGTAAAGAAGAAAAAATAGCTTGAGATGTTAGGGTCAAGTTTAGCTATATAGCCTCTATTATAAAGTTAATAAGTAATATTTATATACCATTGTTGACTTTGGATATATACCAAAAACTCTGAGATAAAAAATTCTTATGTATTTTTGCACTTTATATTTTATTTCTTTTTCTTAATGATCAACGCTAACCAACATCAAGCAAATTTAACAAGATAGGGAATATGCTCTCACAAAAAAAAATGTTTATGAATACTCATGTACAATCGTTTGACATAAAAATACTGATAGCTAAACCCTTATAGTTTGGGTTGGGTTGGAATTTCTTGCCTATATTAAAATGGGTTGTGCCCAACCCAACTCAGTTCCCTCTCCCAACCCATGTGAGATGTGTTGGCCCATATTTTCACCTCTAGTTTGAGCATTAATAGAAAATAAATATTATATAAATTATTTTTAATTAATTAATAATCAACTTCATATAATGTGTTGGCCCATATTTCCACCTGTAGTTTGAGTATTAATAGAAAATCAATATTATATAAATTATTTTTAATTAATTAATAATCAACTTCATATAAAATAAAAAATATACACTTAATTAAGTTTTCCATATAACTAATTTTTTTAGTTAATTAATATCATCTAATAAAATTATTATTAAAATTAATATACACTTAAATAACTTCCTTACACTCCTTATTAATAAGACTTTCTCACATCTAATAAACTGTGCAAAATTGTTCATAATAACACTTTCTCACGGTAAGAAATTGAGAGAGGTTCTCATGACATATAAACTGTGAGAAAACTTTACATATACTTTATTTTATTATATTTGTTATTAATTTATTTGTAGTAAAAATAAACTATTTCTATGCTTAATAATCAATTTCATATAAAAATAGAAAAGTATATACTAAAATAATTTTTCATAAAAATAATTTTTAATTAATTAATATTATTTAACAAAATTAATGAAAAAATAAATATACATTTAAATAATTTTCTTACAATGATCGTCAAGG